CGATTTGAGCTCAAGTTGGATGAGTTACGCGTAGTAAATCGTAGGTATTATAAGGCTAGTAAATGACGAATTTCCCTTGTTTATTGATGTCACACTCCTCCCTATTATCTACTCCTGATATATATATATATATATGATCATGAACTCATATCTACTACACCTGCTGTTACTACGCAGTGTAAGTTCATGATAATTTCCATATATACATTTATATATAATCATGCAGAACGAGTACTATTATACTATTGTACTATGATTCCAGAGGATGGAATGTGGAACTCATCATTTAATCTGTATTACTAAATGAAAAAAGCTGTCATAAATGTTTGTATACATAGTATACATACTACCAGTTCTTGAATGACTCATAAAAATAGTCCCAAAAACGTCGATATTAACACAAACAAGCTTGTGAAGTGATGAATATAGTTTACAAAATGTCAATAAACTGCCTTTTCATTCGAAATTTACTAGATTGTGCGCAGACAGTGTCACTGGGGTTCAGATAAGTGCATGCTTGCTGAATAAATCTCATAATTTTTGCACAATGATACGAATTTCAGTAAATATACACACTATTTTCCATGCTCTAATGATGCACAGATATGTACGCACAGAAGTTGAGTAGCTTTGTATATATTACTCCACACAAAGGAGTGGGACGCTTTTCCCGATGTAGACATCAGAAATCAAGGCAGCAATTTGTGATAAATCTATCCAATCAAATTATTTTCATGCACAAAATGCTTGCATATATAATACAATTTTGATTAGATGCCTTGACGGATTTCAGAAGTGAGCAGCTTTAACCTGCTCATGTTAAATATATACATGAATACCATGGTAAACAATCCATGCAGCATGCATGCACCACGATGCTGCTACTGCATTTGTTTGTTGGCATATGGTAACCCTCGGCAACCATTACCCTCACATACCTGGTTGATTTTCTTGTACTCGACGAGCTGATTAAGAACAAACTCCAGCACGTGTTTGGAGGTGCGCTTGCCCTGGGGCAGGCTGTTCGTGATGTCCATAATGTCTCCGCACTCTCGCACAAAGTAGTCGATGTCATCATCCGAACCTGTGCCAGTCAAGCCAGTTAGATTCACACTCTGAAGGTCGACTTTTACATTAGAATTCATTCTTACTAGTGCATATTACAGTTTAATCTCGCCGTGGTTCACTAAACACTTTGCTGTCGGTTACATGCATGTTATGTCATAGATATATACGCATACCACATCTTATATTTACTTACATTTGTTTGTCAGCTGTGCCAGCCTAACTTTCTCTGAGGAGAAACTCTCATCGAGGTCAAATAGTTCGAGTGGAGGGGGCAGCAGTTCTCTGAATTGAGGAGGAAACACCTGTGAAGCAAGAACACATGTAGTTAACAGATCCACGGAAGAATTATTCCATACTAGAAACACAAACTCAGAGTGCGAAATTAACGGGAGTCCGGAGTCAAATACTCCCTGATTTACTGTCGGACTCCCTGATTTGACATATGCAAGAGTCCGTGTGACTCCCTAAAAATTCTGCCATACTAACTATAGTTCATTCCAGAGCACGGCCTCGCGGAAATACCGTATTTTTTCAGCTAATGTCCAAAGAAAATTTGGCAGACGTGCAACCGCATGAATCTTAAAAATAAGCACATGCGTTATTGTTAATATTTTTAATTTTTACCCTCAGACTGCGAACTCCCTCATTTTGCTACAGACGCCCTCTTTTTGAGGGTAGGGAGTCCGCTGGACTCCCGTGTTCAAAAGTTAATTTCTACCCCTGCAAACTGTCTAAATACTAATACTTTATGTTTACAATGGTCATAATTTGGTACCAATGATCCACTGGCATCGCCATAAAATATTCCTATAATTGTTGCCTGCTCACCTATCAACTGACTAGCCTAACAGAAACACAGGCTGAGAAAAATACTGTATTCCATTTGTCATTATACAACCTAACGAAGTATACTGCTCAGACTATTACCCATTATATATATAAATATTACCCATGACCGACTCGTGACAATCGATACACTGATACATTTACCACCCACTCTCAACTCGGGCCTGCACATATCCCACAGAGACTACTCACAGCGGGATCGAGTGGTGGCAATGGTGTCTCAAACTGAGGTGTGATGAGGGTCAGTGGTTCGTGCTTCACATGTAGCTCTTCGTAGGCACTGTGTCAAACCAGGACATAAGTCTCTCAGTCATTAAACAAATCACACAAAACCTCACAGGACTGCGTTTGACACCGAGTGATATAACATTTTTGACTTTTCATAGATTGTAGACCCAGTGATATGAATCTGTATACTACACTACTTTTCTCTGTGGTAGTGCCAAAAAGAGAGCCTTGTATGCGGTGGCACCCGTCAGTGGAAACTGAGAGAATCTCTTCACTAGCCCAGTAGGCCAGTAGCCCAGTAGGGCACAAGACATTTAATTTAATTTTACTACTTTTCTCTGATGTCTGGTACAACTATCATCCGATAATGTAAAATATATACGAGTATAAGCGGTATACCGTATTATCTTTGGGACTAGTGACGTATCGAGCTGAAAGAGGGCGCTGTCGAACAGTTGAGTGAAATCTCGTGGCACGTCCTCACTCTCGTGTAGGCAGGCTTTCAGTTCCTCTGCAAGCTCCCCAGTGTGCGGCATAAAGTTGTAGTCCGCTATCTGCAGGAGAAAAAACACGTGTTTATATTCTTGCTTTCGTGTAAACTAACCCTAACCACAACTAACCCTAACTACAACTAACCATAGCCACAACTAACCAGTGCTCAATTTTAAAGTTTTTTTGGGCTTGCTCCGGAGGACAACCAAGAAGAGTAGCATACTGTCGTCCCTCAATGATTTTTTGTCTGTCCGGGATAAATTATTTTAAACATGTGCTGCACTGCAGCTCTCTCACGTGATGCTCAGTGGCTGTAAAGCAAAAGGACCAGGATCTCTATAGTAAAACTGGCTGGCGAATTACAATGACAAATGACAAATGAGCGAGTGGGCGTAGAGCAAGTGCGCCGCGATACATGTACATACACGTGCGCGCGATACATGTACATACACGTGATGTTCATACATTGTATAGAAGGCAAGGCCAGACAATGCGTCTAGACATGTACGTTTGCAGCATATTGTGCAACCCCTGGCCGTATGTAAAATGAACCGCGCGCGCGCTGGTGGCCCGGCGACGCGATCGATCGCCCAGGAGCGATGAACGAAAATAAGCGCGCAATTGTTGAAATTACTAATCTGAAAAAAGAGATACCAGATCTTTCGGGGAGATACCAGATTTCAAATACCTGAATACTGTACGTGCATGTACCGCCAAGACTGGTATAGAGAGCTCAGGTTATTGATTTTATAGAGGTTGGAAACCGGACAACAACGGAAGCAATTTGCAGTTGCCCGAGAGAAAATCCAGTCGTCACGAACGACCGGACGACTGTTAAAATTGAGCCCTGCTAACCCTAACCACAACTAACCCTAACCATAACTAACCCATCAGTCTGATAAAGATTACCACGTCCTACTTAGATATTGTCCCTAGGTTGGTCAGCCTAGAACAGTGCATACGTATCTCACGTGTGGGCATCAAAATTTGCCACACTTTGATTCCACACAGTATCTTTTATAACGTCCTTTTACAACAGCGATTGGCTAACGCTGCCTAAGAATAATGCCAGACAAATAGATCAATTACTAAGAATAAATAACCACTTTTTTAGTTTCAGTTTGCATGCATCCCTCTTGTTCGCGAGTAACATCTAATAGCAAACCTCGTACAAGGGCAGCATTGCGAGAAGGGCTTCATCCTACCTCAGGATCGGCTGCATCAATCTCATCCAGCTGCACTTCGTCGGTCGTTAGGAACTGAAAGATGACATCCAGGATCTTGTTGTTGTCCTCCTTATCAATGTAGCTGTCCGAAAACATGTAGGTAGAGCCAACAACAGCAATCTTGCCGCTTTGGTGCTGTAAGAGATGAACAACATCTCAGTAATACCAGTAGTTGGCGAACAGAATATGTACCTGAAAAACTTACATTATTATATTAGTGTTAACCGAAACAGCCGTCTACCTTACCAGAAGCTCAAATCAGCATGTTTCTCAAAAAATTACAATGCAGGTTTCATTTATCTGCGCTGTCCCAATTGTATAAACAATTACACGTGGCTGCTCTCTACATGTTCTGTATTCGGACACTTGCCTCCATTAATGAATTGCAATTTGTTTGGTACAAGATGCAGTCTTCTCAGAGTGCTAAAATGATGAGGTACTAATTGGGGCACCATTAACTGTGGTATTGCAGTATAAATTCACTCATCCATCTATCAATTTATTTATAAGTCTATTATATAGTTTTATCTGTTGCTCAAGATACCTTATTTGTGTACAACGCGCACACCGGTCTGTTAACAGGAAAACACACACTGCCTGTTGATAGTACAGCCACCGCAGGTCTCTGCACATTTAGAGTCGCACCAAATGGATACACAAATGTGAGTGCCCTAAAACAAACATGTTCACTTACACAACAGTGTACCAGCAGAATTAGTGTGGACAAACTACGTTCCGTTGAATGTCTTAGTATCATTTAGCAAAAAAATGCTGTAATTTAGGGTGCTGATTTTAACATTAGATATTATTTATTGTAGCCCACCTCACCATGTAGCAAACAAAGACAGAAACCATCTTACTGTGAATTAAGAGAGTCGTCTTCCCCCGTTACAACCACCTTTCCAGCGGCCAGGCTGATAGCGCGATTCAGCACCCCATTAGAAACAAGCGCCTCCTTCGGGTGGAAGTATTTATAGTAGACATTTCTGACTACGGCATCTGCAAATCATCAACAGAGCAAGTATGTGAGTTATCTGAAGTTCGTGAAGTGTCTCTAGTTAATACAATAAACAGTGATAAAAAAGGTACTCCATTAGAAATTCATTTAATCTTGCCATGACCATTATAATTTCCATTTAAATCAGGTTTTTGCTGTAAAAAAAGATAGGTGTAAGATACTATTTTGATAACTTCACATACCAGAGTTGACCATTATCTTATACTGTTCCAATAGGTAGTTGATATTTGTCTCAAATCTTGGTTCTCCGCCCTCTCCCATCATGATTAACATACTGCCTCCATTATCTATGTAGTTCTTGAGTGACTCCAACTATTAAAAAAACAAGTTACATGAGATTCTCACAACAGTTTTGCCTAATTTTTGTTATTACTTTATACTTATTAACTTGAGTTTTTTTATTCCACCCAGGACCATGTTCATACCATTTAAATTCCATTTACAAGCTGAATTGTATTTGTTTTATTTCAAGTCTACATACAATTAAATAGGATTATCTGCATAAATCCGATGAAATAATGAAGTAACAATAATCTTAGAGTGTCACCTCAGTGTATAAATCTAAACTCCAATTGCACCCTTCTGCTTTCTCTTCTGCACTTACCTCCGATGCTGTGAACATTTCTCGTGATCCACCCAAGACAAAGACTTTAGCATGTGATAGAGTTGCATTGTTTATCGGATCTTTGTTGCTGTATAAATATAGAGTTAATACTTATACACACTATGAACAATTATGATCGATGCATTTACACTTTTTAATTGTGTACAGTAACTGTATGGTTATAAGTTATAACCATAGTTGTTATAAGTATAATATAACTATATATAGTATAACTATAGTTGTCTTCAGTTCACTACAAATTGGTTTCTGTAGCCAATTAACTAATTAATTGTTGCACTATTTTGTTTCATTCTGCAAGAAGTATATAGGCAAAGACTTTATCCTTGGATAATATAACCATACTCTCTACTTTGCAAGATGATGAATCCCAGCATCTTAAAACATCACCCATTAGCTGTAACAATTAGACAGTTTATTGAATATTTTACAATAGCCATAATTTCTAGTTCACCTTGCAACTTTTAAATCCCCTTTAAGTTTTCTTTGTAGAGACTTGAAACCACTGTGAATTGTGCACAGCTCTTTCTTGGACGCATTTATAAGCACTACACCTTCTTTATCTTTGGTATCCATGTTCTGAAATAACAAAAATTGAAACTGGATATAAATCATGCATATATTCATATATTATGATAAAAGTCAGGTATATGGATGGAAGAAGGGAATTTTCTCATTGTGTAAAAATCTGGATTTCAACGTTGGGGACTGTCAATCTATTGTGGCTCAGATCACAAAGTGATATGACGGGTTTGTCACCAGTTATCTAAGGATTAAACTACCGATGATGTACAACACTCTGGCAGAGACTCAATAAGATTAACAATCTTACTGTACACCAAGGTACAAGTTGAAGTAGGCCTACAGCACAGTTAGATCTAGTACACACATTGTTAGCCCGACCAGGCTCTACAACTGTTTCATGTTGCAGGAGCCTGACATCCTTTGATATAGAACACCATGTAGCTTGTAAACAAACTCAGAATTTACGTAAATAAAACAATATACCAAATTTAACCATGTAACGTATCATTAAATACCTACTTCCTACTGAAATAACATGACTTTAATGTTAGAGTAAAATAGCAGTAAGACAGATCAACACTGCGGATCGCAGTAGAAAAAGCCTCAAGTTTGCATCTAACTAAAGGAGAACTCCGAGAAGGGAGAGAATGATAGAGTCAGAGACAGTAATATACTAGTGCTGAGAGGGTCTATGTCCCCCGGGGTACTGCCGGAACGTACCCTGGGTACGGTGGGGTATACCGGAACGTACCCTGGCACTATCTAATATGCCGGACCGTACCTCGCCCACTCCACTAACGAGTCTAGGGAGTCGCCTACGCCTACTCCCTAACCCTAACCCTAACCATATCAAATAGTTACCAGGGTACGTTCCGGTATACCGGACCGTACCCAGGGTACGTTCCGGCAGTACCCTGGGGGACATAGACCCTATGAACTATACTAGTAATATCTACTCTGCAATTTTGTAAACGCAGAGGCTACGGGTACGGCAGACGTATCTTACTACGCATGCGCTGCAGCCGTATCTTAATGTGTCGAGGCTATGGGTACGGCAGTCCCACACACAAGTACAAACAGTCACCCTATGGGCCTATCCCTAACGTAACGGCTACTAGTACTAACCATAACCTCACCATAACCCTAACAGTAACACTAACTATAAACCGACTCGGCGATCTTATATACGCGTTTCATAGTACCAAAAATAATCTATGGTGTTGGAAAGCGACGCATGCGCAAATGGACTGCCGTACCCGTAGCCTCGAGACAATTTAAGATACGGTTGCCGTACCTCCAGCCACTGGCACTGCGAGTCTGCGTTTTGTAAAATGCAACGTTCTTCTGAGGTTACGGTGGCCTTCGGCTTACAGGCCAAAATTGTGTCAATGCCTATTTGATCAACTTTGTCTCTTTTCGTCTTCGATATGATCTCTTGGATTTTGAAGACTAATATTTACGAGGTTACGAAATAAAATAGCAATTTACAGCAATATTTACCTCTGTTATAGGCGCCATATTGAATCACCAATGGTCACGCATTTCATACGTGATCTATGATTGGCTGAATTATTCGGCATCGACCAATTGCACTGGGTTATGTAAATGCGATGTTCAATGGCTCAATGCCTTGGCTCAATGGAGTTATGGAGGGACGGCGAATCTAGCGGTAAAACAAGAACGTTGAAGACGGAATCATTGTAATAGCTACTAGAACTTATAGCTACCAACGATCTCTGATGATACGTAAGTTTACCGTGTGAGTTAAATAAAATGAGTGACAGTTTTGATATATTTAAGGCTTAAAGTTCATATTACAGTTGGGGAATCGTGGCAAAGGCCAAAGACAAAAACTGAAAAAGTAAAAACGTGCGTAGGCGTAGGCCCTTACCTTGGCCCATACTGGCCATGGCATAGGTCACATGATCGCCGCGTACGTGGCTAGTAGTAGTACTACTATAGCTCTAGTACTATAGCTCGCGTACAGTTGCCGCTGGGCTATAGCATCAGCCATTAGTCATTACGAGAACTTACTCCAGCCTAGCTCTAGTACTATAGCCGCTTACATTAACTGCCGCTGGCCAGCGGCAGTTAATATAAGCGGCTATAGTACTAGAGCTAATGTAAGCGGCTATAGTACTAGAGCTATAGTAACTATAGCCCGCGTACACTGTACAGTTGCCGCAGCCTGCCTGCAACCTGCGGCCACAGGGACTTGAGGCGAAAAAAAAAAAGAAGTGTTATATATATTAATATCCCTTCCCCTATTTATATATATAACACTTTTTTTTTTTTTCGCCTCAAGTCCCTGTGGCTGTGCCTGCGGCAACTGTATGCGGGCTATACTAGCCTATAGGCTATAGTTACTAGAGCTAACTCCAGCGAGTCAGTGGGAACTATGTATTTCCACACGTGGAGGGGTGGGCGGGTTGTGTTGGTTGTGGACAAAAACATTGCTGTTATCAAGTAACAAATTAATAATAGTAATTTGTTCATCTTTCATGACAAAACTAATATTACAATCTTTTTTGATCGCTCAACTGCTGCAGCGCCGCCAGAAATGGCCGTTTGAAGTTCGCAAATCGAATGTTTGTTCACCAGAAATACCACAAGTAGACCATTTCAACAATAGTTAGAGGTTAAATTTGAGTAGCTGATATAACTTAAGGCATATTCACTTCGGATAAGAGGCATTAATTGCCTACCACAGACGTTTTATAGCCGGGTATAAGCGCCTTAATGGCTCGTTCTATAGCCCAGTGGCAACTGTACACGGGTTATAGTACTAGAGCTAGTACTACTACTACTAGGGCTGGAAAGGTCTATGTCCCCCAGGCCCAGGGTACTGCCGGAACGTACTCTGGGTACGGTCCGGTATACCGGAATGTACCCTGGTACTATCTAATATGCCGGACCGTACATCACCTACTCTACTAACGAGTCTAGGGAGTTAATTGCCTACGCCTACTTCCTAACCCTAACCCTAACTCTAACCATATCAGATAGTTACCAATACCAGGGTACGTTCCGGTATATACTGGACCGTACCCAGGTTGGACATAGACCCTATGAGCACTACTACA